TGTCAGAATTCGTCCTTGGCGTAGACCTGCGGTTGGCCAAACACTTGGACACCATACCTTACACAGCTGCCTGTTCCACAGTCACTTGAAGGGGCCAGTGCCGAGGTTCAGTGTCCAGGGACGGCTCAGGATCCTGGGAACCGCGTCTTTGTGCTACAAGGAGGACTTCCTGGCCTACAGGACCAGTTTGCTGAGGCCTATGGGCTGGTGGACTGCAGGGAGCACGAAATGGAGGGATGGGAGGGACTACAACCCGGGAAAAGCAGAGTCCCTAAATGCAGACGTCTCCTGCGGACGCTGACTTGCCAGGCTGTGCTGAGGGTGGAGCAGCCCCTCCCACCGCCGTCTGACTAACTCTAGTTGTCTAGCCCTCTCACGGGGCTCGGGCCTGGGCTGTACTTTGGTGGCTGTGCAACCGGGGAGCTCGGGAGTGGAACTGCGTCCTGGCGCTTTCAAAGGAATGCAGGACAAAGTCCCGCTCGCCGCACCGCGCTGGCGAGAGGAACTCGGGCGCCTCCTGGCGGCTGCGCGCTGAACGTGCTAACTTCTCCCTCCCCAGGCTGTGCGCAGAGCAAGATTCGCCAGGCCGGCGGGCTTTTCTGCACTAGCTCTGATGGCGGCGCTGAGGCCTATTCGCCTCTATTAATAACGATGGCCTGGGAGGGGAAAATAGAGGCTTTTAAAATCCAGACTCTGTATGTGAGCGTGTGCGTGTGCGTGCGTGCGTGCATGTGTGTGTTGGGGCGTTGGTGAAAGCAATAAAACTCAGATCGCTTCCTTGGCGAGATAGCGGCAGCTATAATGCGCCGAGGGGATCAGGGGTTTATTTGCAGATCCTGGATAAAAGATGATATATCGACGCGGTTTAGAGTGTCACTGCGCTTGGCCTCTCAGGAAGCCACAAGTACATATTTCCTGAAATACCACCCAACACAATATCTAATCCATACACTATAAGCATCGGGAGGGGAATGGCAGCGTCTCACAAGTTCTCCTAAGGCTTCCAAGTTATGGGTTGGGAGAGCCCGCCGCTCCCGAGCGGGGTCTAGGACGCCTCAACACTCCTTCCCTGGCCTTTGTCTTCCGTCCAAGTGATCACTTAAACGATGGGCCTTAATAAATACGTTTGAGAACTGTTCTTATGCTCCGCAAATATTGGATTAGCTTTTCAATGACCAGGCTCTTGAAAAGGCTCGAGAAATCCACACCAGGTCTCAGCTAAGCCCAACAGTCAATAGGTAAGGAAAATAAGTTATTTCCCTGATCGGGTAGGGAGCATTAAGACCGGGTGCCCGACGCTCTGATTATGTGGTTCTAGTAAACTCGTGTCGGTGGTGCTGTTGGTGGTGCTAAACAGAAGGGGGAGGGGCACCGAAGTTTTGGATTACTTGGAATTTCCATCAATTCAGCGGTAATCATTAAGGTCCAACTTTGTGGGAGAGGAGTACATCTAGGTTCTTTATTTCCACAGCCCACTCTGTACTCTTTTTGTTAGTAAATATACTATTTATTTATTTAGGCGATGTTTATGGAGATTTTTCCTCAGAACCAACTTGGACTGCTTAGGGAAGGTCACAGTGGGCAAATTCCTTGGAAACCTTGCTCTATCTGCTTGTTACTGACTTTTGCAAACAGAATAAGGCAGGAGCCATTGAGAAATAAGGAGGAAGTTTCTCCCTCCTGCAATGTGGGGTCTGAAGGTTCAGGAGAAAGTTTCTGAAATGCTTCTTCCTGGTACTAAGATGCCAGAAGGCTATGCATGGGAAGTTCAAATAAGGGGTGTCCCTTAGCTGGTCCTTGGTGATCAAGAGGTTCTGCTTGGGTAAGGAGCCTTGGGACCTGCTGTGGCAGCAGTCTAGCTGGGCTGAACATCTGGCTGGGCCCTTAGCCTCTCAGGACCTTTCAGGAAAGGAGTAGAAGCGGCTGAAGTAAACAAGCCAGCTGATCAGAGAACCAAAGGGCTGGATTTTCATCTGCCCTGAAACTCAGAAGCTTAAGTTCTAGGGCGCAGGGCATCCACGAATTTTTGATGGCTCCTGCATGGGGCACCAGCCAGCAGAATGCTCACCAAGAGCACAAACCCTGAGAGCGGGGTGGGGAAGGAGAGAGGGAGGG